TCCTGCCGGGCACAAATGTTAAGTCCCGAGTATCGTTTCTACCGCCGAGGGAAGGGGGGGGGGAGTTTGATGTTCAATGTAAAATTTAACATCTGTTTCGCCTCCAGATCTCTGAGTACTTACTTCGTATTTTAAACATAAGTAAACGTTGTTAATCTGACCCCGAGAACGATAATTATTTAGAAAATCATTTATGAATGTTATCCAGATAATTATACGGAAATGAAGATGTCTTGAACTGTGTAGATTCGAATACAAGACTTGCTTCCAGCCTATCGAGTATGGTGAACTTAGATATACCTTGCGTTTAAGGAAAATTTAAAAGACTTGGACTTATTTTCCAGTGTTTAATTCATCAGAATGTCTTCCCTAAAAGCAGATATACTAAGAGAACGACCAATAGATGCTGCATTCGAATTAGTTTCCAGGCAACCGTGTACAGTTTAAAACACAAAGTGATCTATTTCGTAAGATCCATTTTTGCATCCGTGGATAAGGACAATTTAAAATGGCAGCGTCTCTTTCATTCATTCCACGCTACACGTTTGTCCCTGACAGCTTTAATCAGGTTTGTATCGACTGGTCGTTCTGGAAATATGAGTTGTCTACCACAATCTTATCAGCTGTGGCAGCCATCAATGCCAACATATTCATCACATGCAAGCAGAATAACGAAAATTCCATCCCCCTGGACGTAACGCCACGTATTCCATCAGAAGTCAAACTACGCTTCGGAAAAACATGTCGCTCTAATGTCATTTTATTAACGTGATTTCAGATTAATAATTCTTAATGTATCAAATGGTATCAATATATTCGGAATTACTGAAGTCATAAATATCAGCGTATTATAAAAGATAATATTTTATCTCCGAACGAACAGAGGATAATCCGAAATTTTGCGTGCCGTATTTTACCTTATATCTTATTTAACTGTTTTACCATATTAATATCTTGTCAATATGATTTTGTAGATTTATACAGTTTTGAACATGATTCCAAATTTGTTCCATCATCATCATCATCATCAACATCATCACTGGCACGACAGCCCTTTGTGGGCCCTGGCCTTCCTTAAGATTGCTCGCCATTCTTCTTCATTCGATGCTACATTCCACCAGTTCTTTACGCCCAAAATTCTTACGTCCTGCCACACACATTCTTCCCATCTTAATCTTGGTCTTCCCCCTCTCCTATTTCCTTCTGGTTTAGTATTAAGCATTTTCTTGATGGTTGTATTCTCGCTGGCGCGTATTATGTGTCCAGCATATTCAAGCATTTTCACCTTTATAAATCCAAAAATACACTGATATATTAGGTTTTTGGCTTTTATCCATCGTCCTGGTTTTTAAGATAACAAATAAAAACACGACGTTTGTTATCTTAAAAACCAGGACGATGGATAAAGTCCAAAAACCAAATATATCAGTGTGTTATACACCATCGTCAGAATCCTATAGTAACTAAATCCAATAATGTCTGGTTCATTAAAAAGTTTGTATAGCTCATGGTTATACCTCTTCCTCCATATTCCATTTTCTTCCACTGGTCCAAAGATATATCTCAGGATCCTCCTTTCAAGTATACTTAACAGTCTTTCATCCGATCTTGACAGTGGCCAGGTCTCAGAGGCATAAGCTAGCACTGCCAAATTTGTTCCACGGTGTTCAACAAGGAAATTTGTCTCCTCTGTAGCCCAAGTCTAGCACGTTAGATAACATTTCAAAAGAAAGGAATAATCTACTTAAAAATCCTTAAATTAGCCGTGCAGTAACAAACTTTGAGACATAAATACACGTAATTATCTGGACAAGTTCATTATAACCAATGCTTCCCATTTTCGTAACGTAGGTCCCGGATAACAATTCTGGGCACACATATAGTAGCGACTTTCTGCTCCATATAGAATACATGTGTCTGTGTGTGTGCGTGCGTGAGCGCTATATGGAGCTGAAAGCAGGCATAAACTGTCATAAAGACTTGATGAAAAGATTCGAATTTCGAAGTGGACTGTACACTCGGTTCCTTACCTTAGCATGAGATAATCAAATTTACGTACTCTTCTGTCCAGCTCCTTCAAACGAACGTGATGGAGCTGACGAACTTTCATGACATTTATCTAGTCCCTTTTTACAATTTTTGGGTAAAGTTACACGGAGTCATAAATTTTAGCACGAAGAATTTCATTTTTTTTTTTTCAATTTTATAGTAGTAAACAATGAATCACTAGAAGTTGAAGTTGTCCATGTGCTTAATTTATTAAGCACCACGCAATGAAAATGTATGAGAGAGTGGACGTATAGCTCCAGCAACCTTGACCTCTGCATTAGATGGAAGTCAACTTCACGCCCTGGCTGCGAAATATGCTTAGGCAGTAAACATAACACAATGAGCTAAATTGTCGGATTAGATTTTGTCTGACAAGTACAGCGCAATCCTTACAAAAATTAAGTTTAATTTACGTAACCGGAATTTGTAGGCGCACTAGTAGAAAATATGCAGAAAGACAGATCGTTAAATTCTGTGGGTGTAATTATTAATTCATTGTTCTTGCCGGCCTCACCATATTGGTTACTGTAAAGTATTTGAGTGAAATGTGTGCAGTAAGTGCTTTCCAGATACGTTTATCTTTTACTTAATGATTTTCAGTCACATCTGCTCAGTCATTATAGATAAAAATTTATTGACATCTGAGGCCATTGATAGATAAAAGTAGCAGATAAATAAAATCTATAATCGAAGTAGGCCTTATATAAAACCGGAAATTTCCCACTACAAGTGTAAGATTTGAGGTTTTCGCTGCGGTGACTATGAAGAATGTCGTCTTCTGGGATGTTGTACAATGTAAATCTTGTTTGAACCGACGTTTCGGAGTAGCGTATCGCCTTCATCTTCATGGTAGAGAAATCCGCGAGCGAGAAACCAACGTAAGCCACCTGCAGGAGGTGATACGTTCCTCCGAAACATCGGTTCACACAAGATCTACACGGCGCCACATCCCAGAAGACGGCATTCTTCCTGCTCCATGTTTAGTGGTCAAAAATGGTGAGTGATTCTGACTTTCTATTCATTAGAATAATGCAAACTGTACTACGAATGACCCAGAATAATAAAATAACGTGACCGTAGTTTTCACTGAAGAATCTAGGCTAAAGGTGTACACAAAATTTTGGAATATCGTGCAAAACGTACATAACTCAATTTTGATTACCCGTCGCCAGATACTAGGACTTTTATTTAATTTGCGGAGGTAGTCTTAAAGGCACAACTTTTTGTCGTGCTCGTATACTAAGTTGTCACTCACTGATATGTTGGGATTTTGGACTTTATCCATCGTCCTGGTTTTTAAGATAAGGTGTTTTCCTTCACCTGAGGACGGAAACAGATCCAGTTTCCGAAACGTCGTGTTTTTATTTGTTATCTTAAAAACCAGGACGATGGATAAAGTCCAAAATCCCAACATATCAGTGTGTTATACACCATCGTCAGAATCCTATAGTAACTACTTAAGTTGTCACTGTTGTACAACGTTACTTCTACATGTTTCGACCTTATGAGTTCATCATCAGGTAGATGCTCTAAAGTAATTTGCTGAACTGTATTTCTCTCTTTTTTTTCTTAAACTTGGTTAAAACTAGTTCCAGAAGTATATAGCTAATAATAAACTCCGTGATTTTAGTCCGCAAGCGAACTATACCAACCGAGTGACCGCTACTTGTCGGCGAAGTTTAGTGCCAATTTTTGCGGATGGAGGGTGTCGCGTGGTCAGCGCAACGAATCTCCACGGCCGTTAATTTTGGGTTTCTATACCGGAGTCGCTATTTCCTTGAAATATGTCCTCAATTATCATCACGAGGCTGAGTGGACCCCGATCCAGACCCACTATTTCTCAGAAAAAATCTCGTAGCGCCGGAAATCGAACCCGGACCTCTGAATCGATAGCCAGGAACGCTGACCACTAGACCACAGAGGCGGTCAATAACCTTATAAAAAGTGACAACGTAACACATTATAACAGTCTACGAGAACGACAAGAATTTGCATCTCCGAAACTGCTCCTGCAAATTAAATCATTATCCAGGGCAACAGAATTCTTGAATATAACATTACCAGGTTTGTGAGTGGCCATTGTTTGCGATTGATCATCGAACTCAGGACTGTTATGTGGGACGATGTAATTTCTACGCTTATATGCTCCTTAATTGGTACAGACATGATTCAGAGAGAAAATGTGATTTCATCGGGCACAGTAACGTAGCAGTAAAGCGACGTGTTCAGGTTTTGGAAACACTCGTTTCGAATTCCAGAAGAAGATCGACTGCCCTGATATTGTACAAATCTCTAGAGCTGGCCAGTTCGGTACTAACAGGTAACGGCAATAAAATATGAAACACCTCAAAATGACATCAGAAATCTAACTTCAATTATAACAGAAAAAATATTAAGCTTTGTAACAGGCCGTGGAGGCTGTAGAGTTGTGAGTCGTCTAAGTGCCCAAATTTTCTAGAAAATCTGTTCACAAATATGGGTGAGGTTGTCAGCCTTACGAGGAGGCTGCCCTTTACCCTCCAGGAAGATTCCTGGTAGTCACTTCTGTTAGAGGCTGAGTCTACCCCAGGGCCATAATGCGGCTGGAAGGATTAGGTCAATATAAAAATCTAACGATGTCTTGTTCAAGCTCTGCTTTCAGTTATGTCCTAACACAAACCTGCTTTCATAATCTACTTGAGATGTACAAAGTTGCATGCTTTAAATGACATGGTAAAAGAACATATTTCTAAATTTAAGAAAGACATGGGAAATTTGTGCTTCAGGGCCACTGGATTACCCCATAATTTTGCACGATGAAACACAAAAAAGGGCACCAACAACAGAAAGTGTCCAAT